TTTTTTTTTTTTTTTTTTTTTTTAACCGAAAAATCAAACGGGCCAAAGCGGCTTCGTGTATAATAATAATAATACGGGGGGAAAAAAAAAAACCGAAAAATACCAAAGTCTAAGAATTCGAATACATATCGAGAAGCGAAACGTTTAATTAGTGCGTGATGTATAATACAATATTATTATTATTATTATTATTATTATACCGATAGGACCGCGGTCGCGGTATCCCGACGTCGACGTGACGGCGCGTACGGGCAGGTTACGGTCCGAGCGCGATCATCCGAGCCGCTGATCGATGATTGGGTCCGCCGGCCGAACAGGTTTCCACGCGGACGTCGTCATTTGTCAGCGGCCGAACCGCCTCTCGGGCCGCGGCCGTGTGCGTACCCGGCCCGACTACCGATGACCGCGGCCCGCATCACGGGCGATAATAGTGGTGACTCGCGCGTTTCACAACGGTATTGCGACGCGGCGGAGACGCGGGGCGGGCGTGCAGGGTGTTTGTCGTGAGAACGGCCGCGACGACGACGGTTTTCGTCACCCGTCCCGCCGCCCCGCGGACAACGGAAAAAAAAAAATTAATAATAATACCGTGTTTTTATCGCGGCTTTTTTTTTTTTTTTTCTTTATCCGTCTCGGCGGCGTTCCTATCTCCGCGTTCCGATCGGCGGAGACGCGCATCGAACGGGACGACGCGGCGGCGTTATAACGCTGGCGGTGTAACACACGCGACGCAGCCGCGCGGCGTTACGTTATTATTGTACGGTTACCGTCGAACGCGTGTAGTCGACGCGACGTCGTTACGGCGGGATGACGCGGGACACCGGACGGACCTGACCGCCGCCAGCCGCGAAAACCCGAGCCCCCGGAACGTAAACTTCGTGCGGTAAAAACGGCCGTATGTCTTTTTAGCGCGGCGGCGGCGGCGGCGGCGGTCCGACGGACATTGAGTTCAGAATGTATTTATTTATAATGTTTTCGTTTTACGCGTCGCGCGCGGATAAAAATCGAAACGCCGCCCGCCCGAACCGCGTTCGCGCCGGCGGTTGTCAACGTTGTTATCGGCGGGCGTACATCGCCGCCCGCCCCTCCCCCGCGCGCCGTCCGAACCGCGACCGACACGTTATCTCGTTATTATTGTTATTATTATTATCAGCGCGCGGACGAAACCCTCTGCCCCCCGCCCACACCGTTCGGCCTTCGAGTCGAAATCACCCGGCAACGGGGTCCGTGCCGAATCCGCAAATTAAAACGTAGGCGGCGTGTTATTTTTCGGCTCGTGAACAACAGCGTACGGGGAAAAAAAAAAAAAACCAATAATACGCCGCGAGTCAATTCGTATTTCGAGCCGATCGCCCGGCGAGTATTACGATAACAGGCCGCGGCGCGTTTTCGCCTCGGACGTACTCGGTTATTTCCCTCGGGCGTGGACACCACGGGTGCATCGGCGCGCGCGTTTTTTTCCATAATAAATGCACTGGCCGCGCCAAATCTGCAGTCTCGGCCTCGCGTGACGGCGAACGCGACCACGGAACCGAAACCGCGTACGCACCGGTTTTTTTCTGTATTATAAGCTGTACAGCGTATGCTCAGACCGAGACTTACTTAACTGCAAACATATGCGAGAGTAGCGTTCGCGAATATATAATTAAGCAGTAAAACGCGACTCGTGTATAAATGTTTTTTTTTTTTTATGAAATATTAACATAAATTATTATTATGTCTCGGACGATTGAGCGTGTAGAGCCCGCAGATCTTTAGATGTCCAAACCGGCTTGAAGAACAAGACCGGTCTATAATTAATACTCCATTATTGGAGGAAGTGCTGCGTCGGAGCAAGAAAAATTGACGCGAAACGAAGTGATAAACTATTTATTTTTTTTAACGAAGCCTGTTGTGGAGTGGGGAGGGAAGGACGAGATATTGACAGGTGGAAAAAATCGCAAAATTTTTTGCTCGTCGGGCCTGAACCGATGCAATATTTCGCCACGGGCGTTGAAAGTTCTACAGTTACGCCACTGGACCCCACACGTGTCCCGCCTTGCCCGGTTGCCCGCGCCTACAACCGCGGCACATCCGGCGGCCGCGCGTCGACTCTCGCTCGAGAAGCGTCGCCGGTTTTCGAGACCCCCGCGCCGGCACGCGATAGGCCATTTTAACGGACCGTCGGACCTCTCACTGCGGCGTTTGCGTTCGTCCTGTCCCTGTTCATCCGACAAAACGTTACGCGGAGGTTTACACTCGGCCCCCGTCGACCCGACAGGAGACGCCCGGTTCAATACCGTCAACATTCACCGGCGCTAACAATAAAACGACAGAACCCAAAACCTGATTTATCGGAACGTAATGCGCCGACGACGACGACGTTAGCCGGACGCTTGATGATTTATCGGTAAACGTGTTCCCGGTCGGTCCGGCCGTTGTTCGCGTTTTATCGGGATTTCCCTACGGGCGAAACGGGCGGCGACGCGTTTCTGTGCGCCCGACGCGTGTTCGCGCGCCTTCCCGCGGTTAATACGCGTACGGGCGTCTGACGCCGGTTAACGCGGCAGGAACATTATTATTACAAACAGACGCGGTTGTCGGGTATTCGCGAGACCGTAAAACGATTATCGCCGAGCCGCGGGCCCTTTAATCACCGCTGGCGCGTTCGCGTACGCGGCCGCGATTTTTCCGCGCCTCTACACACGCCGCCGCGAGTGCCGGCGCACACGAACGCAGTCGCAAACGACCGGCCGTTCGGACGGGCGGCCCGCGACTTTGGAATTCCGTCGGGTTCGTCGATTGCAACGCGCGTTGTTGTTGTTGTTGTTGTTGTTGTTGTTGTTGTTGCCGTTGCCGCCGTTGCCGTTGCCGTTGCTGTTGCCGTCGCCGTCGCGGCCGTCATACGCGCGCCATTTGCGTCGGCGGGCGGACGGGCGGCGGAGCGCGGCCTCGGTCTTAACGGCGCCCATTAAAATAATCGCCGCGACTGCCGCGCGGGCCGCCGAAGACATTATTCCGCGGTCGCGAGCGCCGGCCGTTCGCACGCGCGCAAACGGCCGCCCGTTAAAAGTTTCGCCGAAGAAAACCCGCGGCCCGCGGGCGGACGACCGGCCGGGGCTTCTCCCGCGCGACGGCGGACCCGAGACGCGCCGCGCCGTCGCCCCGGTCGTATTGTAATTATCGCCCCGTCGTCGCCGCCGCGGTTAATTCCCGTACATTATATTGTTATTGCGGCCGCGGCGACAACTTTACGCGAGTCTCGCCGCGCGTATTATTATAATCGCGGTGTATGCGTAACGCGCACGCCCGGAGACGATTACGTTATTACCGCTCTCGCCGTTACACCGCGGTAAGCCGTGACGCTCGCAGCCGTCGTCGCGGCGTTATCGCCGCGGTATCCCCGTAACCGCCGCGCGACGACGATAGCAATTATTATTACTGTCGTTGTGTAACCGCGGCGGCCCGTCCGGGAACGCGAACTTTTCGGACTTAATATTCGCGTACGATATTTTACTATACGCCCGTAGAACGCCGTTTTACAACGCCTTTAGAACGCCCGAACCGTTCGTTTACTTGACGAACGCGGAATACCGTCGCTATTCCCACGCGTGTCGCCCAATACCATTGCCTTTC